AAGTCCAGTCACTAGGCCAGGCCAGACCTTTGAGCTCACTCCAAGACCGGGTACTCGGAATACACAAAGGCCATCTACACCTGAATTCGCCTCCGGGACCTGTTGATATGGTCAGTTCCACTCTAGAACCGGATCAAGACAGAGCCCAAAAGCCAGTTACTCCTGGATCAGTTAGCGTGACCTCAAGACCTCCAGACCGTCAACCATCAACTGATTCGCCAGCCAGAGTCACTGAGCCATCTGTACTTACCACAAGACCGGACACTGGAGAAACTCAGCCGTCATCCGTCACTGAACCCTCATCGGGACGACCAAGTCCAGTCACTGGGCCAGGCCAGACCTTTGAGCTCACTCCAAGACCGGATACTCGGAATACCAAAGGCCATCTACACCTGAATCGCCTCCGGGACCTGCTGATAGGGTCAGTTCCACTCTAGAACCGGATCAAGACAGAACCGAGAAGCCAGTTACTCCTGGATCAGTGAGCGTGACCTCAAGACCTCCAGACCGTCAACCATCAACTGATTCACCAGCTAGAGTCACTGAGCAGCGAGGAACATCTGACCTCACTACAAGAACGGACACTGGAGAAACTCGGCCGACTCCATCATTACCTTCTGAACCTGATAATAAGATCAGTCCCACTCCAGGACCGGTTCAACCAAAAACCGGAAAGCAAGGTCCCTCTGGATTGGTTGGCGTGACCTCAAGACCTCCTGACCGTCAACCATCAACTGATTTACCAGGCAGAGTCACTGAGCAGCGGGGAATGTCAGAACTTACCACAAGACCGGACACTAGAGAAGCTCAGCCGATATCCACCGCTGAACCCTCATCGGGACGACCAAGCCAAGTCACTGGGCCACGCAAGACCTTTGAGCTCACTCCAAGACCGGATACTCGCAATACCCAAAGGCCATCTACACCTGAGTCGCCTCCGGGACCTGCTGATAGGGTCAGTTCCACTCTAGAACCGGATCAAGACAGAACCGAGAAGCCAGTTACTCCTGGATCAGTGAGCGTGACCTCAAGACCTCCAGACCGTCAACCATCAACTGATTCACCAGGCAGAGTCACTCAGCCACGAGGAGCGTCTGAACAAACCCAAGACCGAATGTTATAGAAACTCGGCCGACACCACCATTACCTTCTGGACCTGACAATGGAGTCAGTTCTACTGCAGGGCCAGAATCAACCAAGAATCGGAAGACCAGGTGTTCCTGGAGCAGTCAGCAGATGGGCCTCAGGACCTTCCAGGTCGTCAGCCACCAACTGATCCGTCAGGCAGAGTCACTCAGCCACGAGGAGCGTCTGAACACACTACAAGACCCGAGATTGGAGAAACTCGACCGACGCCACCTTTGCCTTCTGGGCCTGATAATAGGTCAGTCACCCCAGGATCGCCGCCGCTCCAAGCAATTGAATCAGCCAACGTGTCTCAACCAACTTCTGGTCCTAGTTATACCCCGCGACCCACAATCCAACCCTCTACCATCTTACACATGGGCCTTGCCTCAAGACATTCCGTCCACTCCCGGATTCACCAGTCGGAAGTCACAGGCGCATGGAGGGCTTGATCTAACTCCACGTCCCGAGATCTCAGACCCGCACAAGCCTGAGACTCCAGGATCACCCAGAGGATCCGGCATGACCCGAAGACCGGATGGGCCAAATGTACAGCAACCAGGAACTGCAACATCACCACCTGGGCTAGAAACTACAACAACCGAGCAAAGTAGGGGCTCAGGAGTTACTACTTCACAAACAAGAGGTCCTATGATTAAAGTTGACGGGGATATGAATCCTGAACAACCTGGGCCCAACGGAGTGACACCGCCGAACCGAGGAGTTTTGTCTACGAGGACAACTACACGAACTATAGAAGAGCGCTTGACCACACTAATTAAGGAGCAGGAGCGCCAAAACCTCACCACAACCCTTGGAGTCGCGACCACGTCACCAACATTTGCCACCAGTGATGGCGTAACTCACGACAAAAGGTCAAGCACCGTTGGAAATGAATTGACTAACACCACACCTCCTTCACCTCCTTCATTTACTGTTCCAAGTGCTTCACAGCCACATCCGTCCTTCACTTTGCACACCACAGTTTCCGTTCCTGTCAGCACTGCACCATCACGTCCTGTCACCAATGCACCCACCAGCACTACCGCACCGTCTAAACCAAATTCTATACAGCCTGATATTTTTATTGACTCAGAACTCCAATCGACTACCGAGGATGATCTTAAAGTGGTTGTGGATTCATTCAAAACCACTTTGGTACCACCCAGTGAGGGACAAGTCTCAAACAAGCGATGTTCATCCAGCGACCGATCGATGTGTCACGAACTGGCCATATGTGAGGTTGCCACCGGATCATGCCGATGCAAAGACGGTTTTATTGGAGATGGATATGGAAATTGCACGTAAGTATCGTTACTATCACATAAAAAAGTTATTTCCAATTGGAACGGAACGGAAGTTAGTCACAGGTATGGGGGTACGAAATACAAACTATGAAGCCTCGGGTAAAAAGGAGTATACAGTATGCCAGAACCGCGTGAAATTAAATGCATTGGTCCCGTGAACGCACACAATTGGGTCTACCGTAATCCGTGTGCGCCGGTTCACTAACCCAAGTATGAAGTATGCCTATCAGCCATGGTTATACCTCCTCTGGTAGTGCCTGACTGACGCACGTTTCAGCCTTGACCAAGACTCTTGTGCGAGCAAGGGGGAGGGATGCTTCAGTTTGAGGCTGGGAAGGGTTACGTGACAACTAACACTTTTGGTGAAGGTCGTGCTGCGAAAGGCCGGAGCGCAGAGAAAGAAAGGACTGTGCTGCAAGGGCATTGAGAGATACAAGAACATGTCGCGAGTCAGGAGATAACTTCTTTAAAGGGAGAAGACACCGGGGTAGATGAGCCATTTAATATGCGTGAAAGAGTTGGGATGTGAAAGGTCAAAAAGGTCACAAAACGCCATGCAGACGTGAGAGCGCTGAGAAAAACAGAAAGTTGGCGCCATTAAAGGGATTGAGTTTTAGTTGTCCGTAGACCGCGGGGAAGCGAAGGAGACAGCTTCCGCTCTGCACCCACACTCTAGGCAGTGGCGACGGTATTGCCTAGGCGCCAGAGCATATCATTTTTTGGGGATTTTGGTCGAGTCCGTACGACCCCTCCCCCACTTTTTCCATGGGAATATATAGAGGTTAGTACGGGGGGATACAGTACACATGAAACAGGAAAACCCATGAAAAATCAGGAAGCTCTCTCAGAAAGTCAGAAGGGAAATACGATCCCCTCTCCCAACAACGAGCCGACCCCCCCCCTTTACAACGTCCCTGAAACAAGAAAAATCAACTGCCAAAAAATTTTCTCAGCCCACATACGACCTCTCCCAGCCATCAAATGTGACCACCTGTTGGGAAATCCCCATCAACGATGTGCCCTGCTAGGCGCATAATGAAGGGTGTTTTGAACGTTTACGGGACCAAATTTCTTGATTTTGCGAGCAAATTTGGTGTACTGTATACCTCCTGTTGTCCTTAACTTCTTACATAGTTATGGTAGTGGGGCCAAGACGGATGTGAGACAAGAAATCCGAGAAAGAGAGATTCCAATAATTGGTAAAAGTTCGTGACAAAATGATTTCCTCGAAATTAC